GCGGCCGTACTTCGTTCCACTCCTTCAGCAGGTTCTTGGTCTCCCACCTTCTACTGGTCCTACTCCTCCCTTACTGTGTCCGCCGCCTGACCAGTCGCAGTCGCAGTTAAAGCCAGCCTCCCCTCTGCCTGGTCCTTCTCCTTACACTGAGCCGACCGGAGGCCTTGCTGAGCGTCGTGAGCCTGCGTCTCGTCCTGCGTCGCCTGTTCGCACTGCTCGCACTAGTCGTCGTGTTCCGCGTCCGCGTCCTCCTCCTGTCCCCGGCACGCACCAGATGGCACTTCGTCCGTCCACTGCTCCACAGCGTGTCCCTCTACCATCTCCTCCTGCGTCCTCTCTTCCAGACCTTGCTGACTCGGAGTCTGACTCCCTTCATGCTGCTAGTCCTACTGTCACACATCTCCTGGCCACTGTTGTCACTGACCCTTCCTTTGAGTCCACTGCTGCGTCTGCCTTAGTTGCTGAGCTGGTCGACTTTGCTGCTCGCTGTCATCTAGACTACGCCGCTAGCCTTGTTGCTGAGTCTGAGTCTGTCTGTCCTCCGTGCGTAAGGGGTGACTGTGCTCTTGGCACGGACGTCCTTGAGGACAGGCAGGAGGACTTTGAGTGCTTTGCAGCCGCTGTACCTCATCGCGTGTCCATGCTGATTGCACCTGAGGGAGATCCGGATGCACCAGACATCCCGACCCCGCGCTCTTACGCAGAGGCGATAGAGGGTCCCTACTCCTCTCAGTGGCAGTCAGCCATGGACGCAGAGATGGCATCCTGGAAGTCCACAGGCACTTACGTCGACGAGGTCCCCCCTCCTGGGGCGAACATCGTCAGTGGCATGTGGATTTTCAGGGTGAAGCGGCCACCGGGTTCTCCGCCTGTCTTCAAGGCGCATTACGTTGCTCGAGGCTTCAGTCAGCGACAGGGAGTTGACTTCTTCCAGACCTTCTCCCCGACCCCGAAGATGACCACTCTTCGGGTTCTGCTGCACGTTGCTGCTCAGCGTGACTACGAGCTTCACTCTCTTGACTTCAGCACTGCTTTCCTACAGGGCAGCCTGCACGAGGAGATCTGGCTGCGCCGCCCACCTGGCTTCACTAGGTCGTTTCCTCCTGGTACCCAGTGGAGCCTTCGGCGGCCAGTCTACGGTCTCCGCCAGGCGCCTCGTGAGTGGCACGACACACTGAGGACGACTCTTGCGGCTCTTAGGTTTGCTCCTTCTACTGCTGACCCGTCGCTGTTTCTACGCACCGACACTTCGCTGCCGCCGTTCTACATCCTCGTGTACGTCGACGACTTGGTCTTTGCCACTGCTGACACTGCTGGACTAGCCCACGTGAAGTCGGAGCTGCAGAAGAGACACACGTGCACAGACCTAGGTGAGCTGCGCAGCTATCTTGGCTTGCAGATCACCCGGGACAGAGCACGCCGCACCATCACCCTGACTCAGTCACACATGGTGCAGCAGGTCCTTCAGCGCTTCGACTTCCAGTACTCCTCGCCACAGGCCACTCCTCTGCCTACCGGTCACTCGCTCTTAGCTCTGCCTTCGGATGAGTCCGTAGAGCCGAGTGGCCCGTATCCAGAGCTTGTGGGCTGCCTCATGTAGCTGATGACCTGCACTCAGCCTGACCTTGCTTACCCTCTTAGCATCCTGGCACGCTACGTTGCGCCTGGGAGACACCGACCAGAGCACTGGAAGGCCGCTAAGAGGGTGATGCGCTACTTGTGTAGTACGTCGGGCATGGGGCTCGTGCTTGGAGGACGGGCTCGAGTGGTCCTCACTGGTCACGCAGACGCTTCTTGGGTTGACGACTTGGCTACGCAGCGGTCGTCACAGGGTTACACCTTCAGTCTTGGCTCCGGTTCTGTTTCGTGGCGGTCTACCCGCTCGTCTTTTGTTCTCAGCTCCAGTTGTGAGGCTGAGATCTACGCAGGGGCCATGGGTGCACAAGAGTTACGCTGGCTCACCTACCTGCTGACCGACTTGGGAGAGCCGCCTCGTTCTCCTCCTGTTCTGTACGTCGACAACAAGGCCATCATTGCCTTGTGTCAGGAGCACAGACTGGAGCACAGAACGAAGCACATAGCTCTGGGCTACTTCCTTGCTCGAGAGTTGCAGCAGTGTGGTCAGCTTCGTCTTGCTTACGTGGCCTCTCGAGCCAACACTGCTGATATCTTCACCAAGGCACTTCCGCCTTGTGATCATCAGCGTTTCTGTACTGTTCTAGGCCTTGTGCCTACTTTGCCTCACTTGCTCACTTCTTGACTTTGCTTGTACTGTGATCTATATACTGGCACCTGCATGCGTACACTTGCTAGGTTGTGATCATTGTACTGCTTGTTCTCCTTATATATAACTTTGCTTGTGAACTGGCCTTGTGGCCATTTGCTTGTGCTCAGATTGTGTGGTGACTTCGTGATCCACCCTGAGCTTGTTTTGCCTCTCTTGATTGGTCTTGTGACCTCTTGTTCTCCCCCACTTTGCCTGTGGGGGTGTGTCAAACTTATATGCAGCTGATTGTGTAGGCTGTAGTGGGGTAGCCCATATGGGGTGCAACCCAGTTAGGGTTAGCTACTTGTACCCATCCTGCTGCTAGTTGATCCATCCCTGTTCACTATTCTGACAGACCGTGCACGGCCACGTGCACCTTCTCATGACGCTGGTGATGAATAGCGAGGATGCACACCCCGCGTGATAGGCCGTGGCCTTTGTGAGGCAGTGGTACCCCTCCCTGGAAGACGAGTGCACTGGCTCCATGAGGATGCGGCCCTCTGATGACGAGCTGAGCTACGACCTTGTGCCGGTCATGTCCGTGCAGAGAACCGTGCACATGGTGGAGTCGTTTGTGGCTCCTGGCCTCTGGTATCTTAACAGGTGGGCTGGCCGATGCCGCAAGGAGTTGCCCTAAGGCTGCCCTAGAATATGCAGATGTTCCTTGTTGTCGTTCCTTTGTGCTGGAATGGTTGACACCACACCTTCTTTCTGTCTTGGTTGAAACTCAGAAACAGGAGCGAGAGACAATGAAGGAGAGGGGCAGGAAACAGCGCAGGGTGGAGCAAACAGGCATTGGGAGGGTGGGAATGGGAGAGGGGCACACTCACATAACTTCTTAAGGAGAGTGGAGAGGTGGGCAAACTGCTGCCCCACCTCCCCGGCACAACTACTGCAAACTACTACTGATCCCCTTCTTGATCACATTGTGCAGCGAAAGGTTGGTGGTGGGGAAGGGGCACATCACAACCAGGCTTGAGAATGGGGGAGAGGAAAGCAACTTGGTGGGAGAGGAAAGCAAATTTTTGGGAGCAAGAGGGGCAGCATCACTCACATGACTTCTTGAGGAGAGTGGAGAGGCGAGCAAACTGCTGCCCCACCTCCTCAGCGTGGCTGCTGATCCGCTTCTTGATCACATTGTGCAGCGATAGGCTGGTTGGGGGAGGAGGCAGCTTGTTCAGAGGACGAAAGACTCACATGACTTCTTGAGAAGGGTGGAGAGCCGAGCAAACTGCTGCCCCACTTCCCCGGCGTGGCTGCTGATTCGCTTCTTGATCACATTGTGCAGCGACAGGTTGCGATCAAACGATGCCTCCTCCACCTGTACGACTATGCCTCTGTATTCTATTTCTTTCCATTTGGGTGAAATCGTAGCTTGGAGGGGTCCACTGTCTGGCGAGCAGTTGCTGTATGGGTGTTTTTTATCTTAATTTATTATGTTTGACGTTACTATCATCGTTAAACCACCGGTGCAACACTCTGTTCTTTACTTTTATCGGATGCTACAGTGTATCGTTGTTGACAAGGAAGCTAGCAGCGCGTACACCAACACCTCCAGGACACACAGTGTGAGAGGGGCTGCATTGGTTGTAGCTATAGTGATAGTGCACAGGCAATGCCTGGCAGGCAAAATTTGCTTCGGGAGTGCACACAGATTTTGAAGCCATGCCCAGTGCGCATGGCTACTGGATATGCCGAATGTTGACAGATTTTGGGCGTCCCAATTTTTCGCTGCGGTAGCGAAATCCGCTGCTCGGCCATTCTCCATCCTCACAGATTAAAAACGCAGCCTCGTCACCCCTTCGCCTCCTCGCCAAAACACCCTCCGCGTCGCGTCGCGCCCTGGCCGTGTCGTCTCATCGCCGCCACCTCGCCTCAAAATGTTTGCGCTCCTCTCTCCCTCCTCTCGTCCTCTCTTCCCTCTGTCGTCCGCTCTCATCTCTTCCTCCCAGCTCTCATCCCTTCCTCCCAGCTCTCATCCCTTCCTCCCAGCTCTCATTCCTTCCTCCAGCTCTCATTCCCTTCGTCTCCGCTCTCATCCGTTCTTTTCCACTCTCATCGTTTGGGTACTCTCTTGCGAGCTCAAGTCTCAAACACATGTGTCTCAAACGATTGCGACACCTCGATATTGCGTACGTTGGATGGCATCTCAAACGCAGATCGCTTGTATGCAATCGGAAACTTTTAATGACTAGGTAGTGTGGATCACGGCTGATGTCTCTCTCGTATTGCACGTCGCCAAGTCACACTGCCACATTCAAACGTAACACGTAGTATCACATGTACTGAGAAGAGAATTGGCTAAAGTAGATGTGTGGGTTTTTGTGTAGTCTCAGATTCAACGCGCCAGCTTTTAAAGATGGTCAACTCAACAAAGACGATAACCTCACTGTTGCTGCTTGTTCCCACTCGCAACGCCCCCACCCAGATGCATGTTGTCATTCTCGCAATGGGATGAAATAGATGAGATGACGCCATTATAGACACATCAGCTTTCGAGTTCTGCATATCAGGATTTATTTCTCGCTAAGGCACTCAATGCACAAGGCACACAGAGTGCCTGCACTAATGCAGAGTTAGAAACATCCAGCTTGAGCCTTCATATGCTTGAATGCATGCACCAGGTCCCAACAAGATCCAGCAGGGCCTTATGAAATGCTTGTTGGTAGCTCACAACAATCCAGAGCCATGCCGCATTTTCCTGGCTACATGGAGACAATAGCGCACCATTACCTCACCGCACGTGCTCCACCACTCGCACCAACGCCCCCTGTGCCACTTGGGTCGCAGCGACCCCCCCGCCCACGCTCACTCCAACCACACATGCACTACTCTGCCCTGCCGGCAGTGCTGGCAGCGCTGCCACCGCCTTGGCTGCTGGGGAGACCAGAGCCGCCATGGCTGTTCCTCGACAGACCCACATCGAGGGGAGGGGGGCGACCCACGTGCAAGCGAGGGAGAGAAAGGAGGTGGAGGCAGTGGAGGAGGAGGTGGAGGAGGTGGAGGAGGAGGAGGTGGAGGAGGTGGGGGAGGAAGAGGAGGAGGAGGTGGAGGGGATGGATGGAGAGGAGGAGGGGGGGGGGGGGGGTGAGAGGGAGACCTTGACCAATCGGAGGGGTTGAATGGGGCTAAGTACGATGATGAGGTAGTTGATATTGGCGAGAGTGTTGCTGCGAGGGGGAGACAAGGGGGAAGGAATAACAGATAGGTTGGGAGGGGTTGACGATCAAAGCAGCGGTACTAAATTCTCCTAAAGGTAGTGGTGCAAAAGGGGGAGAGGCAGGAAGAAAAACGGGAACATGGTAGCAAGAGATGGCCGAGGGGGTTGCGGAGAGATTACAAGGCAATGCATATTGGTGGGAGAGCCGCTACTAGGGGGAGATGAGGCGAGAATATGGAGGGTTGATAAGAGGGGCTGCCGATGCTGTAGTTGGTGAGTGGGTTGCTTCGAGCAGGTTCGGACAGAGACATAGCGGCATGCTAGAGTGGCGCAATAGCAGTAGCGCTACTCACGTGGAGCAAACAGGCATGGTGATCGCGCACTACCGCGGGTTGTAACTACACTCGTGTAGAGATGACAGGCACCCACGTGGAGGAGACAGACAGGCACCCACGTGGAGGGGACAGACATGCACCCGATTGGAGGAGACAGATAGGCACCCACGTGGAGGGGACAGACAGGCACCCGATTGGAGGAGACAGGCAGGCACCCACGTGGAGGGGACAGACAGGCACCCACGTGGAGGGACAGCAATCACTCACGGGGAGGAGACAGAGACGGTGGCGCCTCCCTTGGCTGCTCCGCCCAGTTGGGCTACTGCAGTGGGGTAGAGCACAGGCGTGAGCGCCGAGGGGACTACAGGAGTGCACGGGAAGGCAAAGATGGTTATGAGAATCCTGAACGAGAATCCTGAGAATGCTTGGAAGTGGCCAGGAGAGTGCTCCTTGAATGCGCATTTGAAATCCAAGGCTGACTTTCGGTGCGCAGTGTAGGCAACACGGGGCAGAAGTGGAGACAGAGGGGGCAGAGGTGGCAACAGAGGGATCCGGAAGGGAGAGCAGAGGGCAGAGGACCACAGGGTTGTGAGGTGACGGGTGTTGGATAGGAGAATGAGGACAGGGACATTAGAGCCCTCGCAAGCTCAAGTGTAGCCGCTGCCACTGCTGCTCAGCTGCTGCCGCTGCTGCACCCTTGGCAGTGGTGCGGCTGCAGTGGAGCATGACAGGGATGCAAATGGATGACGGAATGCAGAGCGTTAAAGGGTGTTGAGGGGCGTAGAGAGTTGCAAGGGTGCAGGTAGAAGTGCAGCATGCAGGACATGATGTTTGTTCTGTGTGTTGTCTGATTTCCTCATCCTTGTTGTCCACGTTCTCCACACCTTAGCACACTCTACCCCCACTCTCCACGTCAGGTCACCACATGTTACGGCCACTCTGCACACCAGCGTAGAACGCCTTGGATTGAGATAGCGCGCCAATGCTGCTGCTCCTAGAGGCCACCACCGGAGCAGAGAAACCAATGTCACTGGTACCGCTCGCAGGGGTACCACTAGCAGTGCTACCACCGGTAGTGGCACCACCGGCAGTGGCACCACCGGCAATGGCACCACCGGCAGTGGCACCGCCAGCAGTGCCAGCAGAAGCAACAACAAGGAGTGCGGCAAGGGGAGCAGCGGGGAGGGGAGGCGAGGCAGGCTCGCCCGAGCAGTGCCACACGGAAGGCGCGGGCTGTGCGCAGGCGAGGGGGGAAAGGGGGATCATGATGACGGCTCCTATTCCAAAACAGTGGAAGACACCGAAGACGCCCATGCTCATTACTATAGCGAGTCCCTTATGGCGTACAATGTGCTACTGAGCAACTCGGCATTCGCTCCTACAATGAGAGCAATGCTCCAGCATTTGAAACCTGGAAGCACCCCGTTGAGGTATATCAGCCGAAAGACACAATCACCTCAAGCATGCTTCTGCAGCAACTCATGGAAACCAAAATGGGGCACAGTGAGAAAGCGAATTCATATATTAATCACTTTTGAAATATTCGTTATCAAATCATGAAGCACGGAAGCGCGATCTCGGAGAAATTCTTCATCAACATCGTGCTCCAAGGACTCGGGCGTGAGTGGAAGCCCTACAAGGCGCTACCTCGACAGAGGCGGATAATCTCGGAAGCTTTTCTATGCGCCGTAATCCTCACTGAACAACAAGACATGAACTCGAGCAAGACCGGCCCAGTGCCGCGCCAAGAGCGTCGCCTTCTACACCGACAACCGTGAATAGCGACGACAACCATGGCGCTGCTATTGCAAAATTTGAAAATTCTTCGGATACTCAACAGACAGATGCAAATACCGGTCCAACAATCGCCACCCAAATTCCACTCACCAAAACAACTGGGTCGGCCGACAAGACACTCGTCAGTTCCAGCCTCAACATCAAGCTCCCCGTCCACCTGCTCATCAGCAGCAACACCAGCAGGGACAAGCATCTCAAACAGGAGGAACAAGAAACATAATGGCAAACATGGCAACACGCCGTAGTCCACGAGCTACTACGTCTGACGAAGACGAAGTGCCCGCCGAATAAATAATTCAACTTGAACTGGGGTAAAACAATCCCCTCACAGACAACCACTACTACTATGTGGACAAGAACCGACAGGACTGGGAGTTACCAATACAGCCGCGGAAAAGCCCGCCTCACCATCATGATCAGCGACAAGTTCCGTTGGGATGGCGTGAAGAAGAAACAAATCTCAACTAACCGGCTTCGGCACTGGCGGAGGCACCGGCAGAGGAGGCTGGAGCAACGTCGGAGCTTGGGGGGTGATCAAGGGAAGCTCACCCACAAAGAACTAGAGGAGGCAGAGAAAGAAATCGCCACTGCGCGGACCCCACCAAGAGTTGTAGTTCCCCTCGGGCGACCTTTGCCCAACCCTCCGTCACTGCCTACCTCACCTTACATCAGGGAATCTACCTGGTTCGAGATTGAACGCGGCTGTCACAGGATCTAGTTTCCACTCGAGAATGTTGCAACATCATCCCCGACCGCAACTTCCTCTCACTTTATCTGACAGCCACGCCTCCAGAAGGAGAAAGAGAAACAACAGCAGCAGAACCAGAAACAGAGGAGGAAGAAGAGGCAGAACCAGGAGAAGAATAAGGGCATGTGCTCAGCATCCTTTATGGAACCGAATCAGAATCAGCCGCATTTCAAGCATGATACCTACGTACCCCCAGGTTCCGCGTAGAAGATGACCTCTGGCACCAGCGACTCGGCCAACCCTCACGCCAGACATTCAACAACTGCCTCACCGCCAAAGTCTTCCTGCCAGGAGCACTGCCGCGCCCCGACGGCACGGAACCAAGCAGCATCACACAGCCTCAAACCTACACCATCTGCCCCACTGCTGACCTCACACACCAAGCTTACCCCTCATTGGAACCAAGCACCAACAGCTACAAGAAGGTGCATAAAGTCTACAACGACTTTATTGTGATAACTTACGGAGGAGTCAACGACGAGAACAACACCCTTACCTTCATCAACGCGTACTCACGCTATGTCTAGGTTGCTAACGTTGACCTTCACTCCAAGGCTCCATAAGTTTTCTGCATCTAGCTGGCACATGCTCAATGGGGATCGGGGAAGAAGCTGAAGATTTGGCAGATCGACGGTGCCAAGGAAATCTGCAGCAACGAGCTGCAGAGCTTCCTTACCAAAAAGGGGATCAAACACCACATTTCACTCACCTATGCACAACAGGAACAAGGAGTCGCTGAGAGAGTCAACCGCGCTTTCATGACGAAGGTCCGCGCCCTCATGAATCAGTCTGGCATCCCCAAAAACTACTAGCCGTACGCCATGAATCACGCCATGCAGCTTCACAACCTTCTGTATACCACAGCGAACAGGGGCAAACTCTCACCATACATGAAGTGGAACAGGGCAAGGGGAGACACCTCCATGCTGAGGGTCTGGGGGTGCATGGTGCAATACAGGTTGGCATCTGCTACCATTGGCATAATCACAGAACGCGCGCGATAGGGAGTTCATCTGGGACTCAGTTATAAATACAAGGGCTAGCTGATTCTGGACATCTGCGTGGGACATCCTCTTCCACAAGCGACTCACCCTGGAGGAGTGGATGGCAGATCAGCATGCAGGAGCCACCCGAGCTTACGCCAACAATGGATGGAGCTTCGCCTCTCCAAAAGATGAGGCAGCGGCATCAGCCCTCGACCGTGATCCCGACGACGACGACGATGTCAACCACGAGATGGATCAGACGGTAGCCGCAAGGAAGAAGTACGAGGAAATATGGGGAGCGAGTGACAACCTGAAGGAACCGCAGTTGAACCTGCAGACATTCCAGAAGCCTTGGTCTTGCTAGAGCTATACGGTGGGATAACAACGGGCCTGGCAGCAGTCCTGAGGCAGGGCGGACAGTTTGCACCTACATGTACGTGGTTAATGACGACCACACGAATCTGATGGCGTCACAGCATATCATGCTCCTGAAAGCAAGGTATCACGAGCAGCTTATGGAAGGGGCGGCAGAGAGGGGGGCGGAGTGGTTGTGTAGAGGAGTGAAGGAGATAGACAACGGGCTCATCTCACAGTGGGGGAAGATCGACCTGGTGATCGCATTTTGGGGCTGTCAAGGCTACTCGCGGGCAGGAAAGGGGAGAGGGATTGCAGACGAGCGGAGCGGGCGATTCCGCGAGTTGGTGAGCGTGCTGAACTCGATAAAGAAGAGGCAAGGGGAAGTGGCCTACATCATCGAGAACGTCGACATGGCTGACTACTAACGACGAGATTACGGCGGAGCTGGGGGCAGGTGTGGCCTGAGAGCAGAGCCTACCGACCCAGGAAATATTGGCAAAATGTGGTGCCTGAGGCATCGCTGCGGTATCAGCTATCCCGAATGGAGAGGCCCAGGGAGGCTAGCGGCCCCAGTGACACAACCTGATCATCCGACTTAGAACTCTTGTAATAAGGTGGGGGAACCACGTCAGGCTTGGCCCACGTTGGTGTCACACGAGAGAGCAAGAGGATTCATAGAAATGGAGGGGGTGGCTGGCCCAGGGATGGTGTACGACCAGACAAGGGGAGAATGGGAGGAACCGATTGCACAAGAGCGAGAGCTGGCTATGGGATTCATGGTAGGGGCTACGGCATGCCCACAAATGATCGAGAAGGATTAGAAGGCGGTGCTGGGCAGGGCATTGGACCTCAACGCCCTGGACTGGCTGTTTACGGCTATGTACAACCATCTGGAGAGGAAGTGGCTGGAACGTCGCATTGGCAAAGCGACACTAAGCAGGCCGCAGACGCAGCTGGTGGCGAACATGCAAATGGAGGCGTAGACGATGCTTGGGGGACTAGAGGAGAAGGAAGAAAACCAGTTGTGGCGGGGAATCCCAGAAGAGAAGAGGCGCGCCAGTTGGAGGGATGACAGGGCGGGCATTCAAGGGAGGTATGCGGACCCACAAGAGAGCGAGGAAGAGGAAGAGGAGGAGGAGGAGGAGGAGGAGGAGGAGGAGGAGGAGGAGGAGGAGGAGGAGGAGGGGATGGAAGTGGCAGGGAGCGAAGAGGAAGGAGGAGGGGATACGTAAGAGGAATTTGATGATTCGGACTTCGATATGGAAGGAGAATTTATCGACCCGCCTTACTAGCCACCCATAGGAGTTGTGTTCATGGCGTTCGATGTGACGCCTGGGGCAGGAACTGCGCCAGTAAGGGAAGGAGAGGCAAGAGAGCCAGAGGAGGTGGGACGAGCGGCAAACAGGGGGAAGAATGAGCCCAAGCGAGAGGAGCAACAACCAGCTTGGGACATAGAGGAAGGACTGCAGGGGAAACAGAGAGAGATTGTGGAGATCTTGCTGGCGAGCCATCGGGACACATTCGTCTGTAAACTCAAAGAGCTGGGATGCTGCAACTGCGCGACGATGACACCGAACCTAACGACCACCGTACCGGCAATGATTGTCAAGCTACGAAGGAGTCACAGTGGTGGCGGTGAGGATGGATCTCACTGGAACGGTGCTTTTAAGGAGGATGTGCGGGGACTACCGAGACCTGAACAAAATCACGGTGCCGGAGCGATACTCGACGACCATGGTGGATGAGATCTTCGACCAGTTGGCGAAGGCAAAGGAGTTCTCCACCTTGGATATGCGGCAGGGATTTAACCAAATTTCTATAGCCGAGGGGGACAAGGCCAAGACAACTTTTCACGGGCCGGATGGGGAGTACGAGTGAAATCGGATGCCGTTCGGATTGAAGAATGCCTCGCTCCTGTTCCAGTGGGTCATGGATGCGGTGCTGAGGGGGATGAAGGAAGCCCTTTGTTACATTGACGACGTCATCGTGTTCAGCGCGACGGCAGAAGAGCATGTGGAGCGGCTGGCTGAGACGTTGAGGAGGATCAAGGCGGTAGGATTGACCTGCCAACCCAAAAAGTGCAGGTTTGGACATCTCACGGTTACCTACCTGGAGTTTGAAGTGTCAGGGGGAAGGCTGGCCATTCAGAAGGCCAAGGTGGACGTGCTGGACCACGTGAGGCCACCCACGGACAAGGGTGCGTTACGAAAGTTCGTGGAGAACTTCAACAAGCGAGCAACCCCGCTGAACAAGTTGCTGCGGGATGATCAAAAGTGGCAGTGGGGCGAGCCACAGAAAGCGGCACTGCTGGATCTTCTAGGGGCGGTGAAAGAAGGAGCGGTGTTGCAGCTGCCGCGCGTGGATGTGCCGTTCGTATTGTACACCGATTGGAGGAGTGCGGGGATGGGAGCCATCCTCAGGCAGCAAGAGGGAGGGAGGAGAAGGTAGTGGCGTTTGCTAGTTGCAATGGGCGGTCTCATGTCTACTTCCACTAGGACATCGTCTACAAACCCGGGCTACACAACAAGGCAGACACGTTGAGCCACCCTGAACATGTAGCAGGCATCCAGATCGATGGGATGAACCCTCTGCTCAAGGGTCTATTGCAACATGGATACTCCGTGCATGCGGAGACTGCTAAAGCACAGAAACAGAATCTGTTACAGTGGGAGAACGACCTAGCGGTAAGGAAGGGTCTAGTAAAGATTTGGGTAACGAACTATGCCCCGCTCCGACAGATCTTACTGGAGGAGTTTCACGACGTAGCATACGCAGGACATTTCGGGAGCAAGAAGATGTTAGCGGGGATAGCTAAGTATTACTATTGGCCCCGGTTGGCAGCAGACGTGCAGCAATTCGTCACCTCATGCGACACATGCCAGCGGATGAAGAGTAGCAAGCAGAAAAAATCAGGGTTACTTCAGCCTCTACCCGTACCGGAGAAGCCATGGCAAGTCGTCAGCCTAGGATTCATGACTGGGCTTCCTTCGACCCCACGGGGGCATGATGCTATACTCGTGGTGATCGATAAGTTCTCTAAAATGGGACATTTCATCCTGACCAACGCCACGGCTACAGCTGAAGCAACTGCTCGCCTCTTCTTCGGCCGCATCATCACCATCCATGGCATCCCCGCTATACTTATCTCGGACAAAGACGCCAAATTCACTAGTAAGTTCCGGAGGGAACTCATGGATTTGTTTGGGACAAATCTTGCAATCTCTTCAGCCTACCACCCCTAGACAGACGGACAGATAGAGCGACTCAATCAGGTGGTTGAACAGTTACTGTGCACTTCTTGCAAAGACGACACCAGCCACTGGGATCTACAGTTACCGACGCTTGAGTTCGCTTACAACAACGCTTCACATGCGGCCACAGGGAAATCTCCTTTCTTCCTATGCTATGGACGGGAAACACTTACCCCACAGTAGCCAACCACACCGGCACACATCCAAGCCGCATACGACTTCGTCACCACCATGCAGCAGCTATGGGAGAAGACTCAGCTCGTGTCACCACGATGCAGAACTCCCAGAAGCAGTATGCGGATCGACATCGACGAGATCACTCAGTAGCGGCCGGAGATCAGGTTCTTCTCGACACACGCAACTTGGACGTGTCCCATCTTCCGTCCAAAATCCGGCCTCGCTTCTATGATCCCCTTCGCATTGAGGCAATGGTGACTCCAGTAACATTCCGCTTGGGCTTACCTTCTACGTGGAAGCTTCATAACGCTTTCCATGTTCAGCTACTACAAGGACCCCAACCAACAGTTCATGGGACGACAGCTACCGCCACCACCACCTGTTCTCGTACAGGATGAACCAGAGTAAGAGGTGGAACGAGTGCTCGCTCATCGACGCATGTGCGGCAACACGCTCGAGTTCCTGATACGCTGGAAGGGATATGACCCAATGGACGACAGTTGGGTTGCAGACGCTGATATGGGCAACGCACGCCGTGCTCTCAATGATGATCTTCTCAAGCAGGGTGTTTCTCATGCAACCCAGCTTTGATGGGGGGACGTGTGAGAGTACGACGGCTAGCCTTACCTTTATTTACCATAATATGATATCTGAACCAGTTCCTTCGATCCTCACAGGCGGAATCCCTCGATGCCGCACGTTGCAACACCTGCAAGATGGCGCTCTTACACTTTTCCGTAAACTGAGAATGCCCCGCAAGCCTTCACTGCCGCCGCACCTTCGCCGGTCGCGTCCTCTGGCGTGGCATTGGTCTCCAAAAGGCACCACACCGCGCAAGCGGTGCCGGCGAGGACGTGGGAGAACCACGTTGACGAGACGCACATCTTGGGCGTGACATTCGCGGCCACGGGTGCGAACGCGGCACAAATCTGTACGCAGGAGATCATGTTGGTCGCCAACTTCTCCTTCTCGTCTGACCTCGGGATGTCGCGGAGCCTCAGAGAGAGCAGCACAGTCTTACAATAGTTCGCGATAGGCGGCGACCACCTCCTGGAACCTGCGAGACAAGAAGGACGACCCATAGTCACCATCGGCATCTGCGGGAACTGACAAAAACAAGATCCTTAACGACCATTCGACATGCGTACCTGTCACGAAACGCGTTGGTGCCACGGCACCTCATGACCATCCACATGCCAGCCGGCATCTTTTTTGCCACTGCCCACTCCGACTTCCACTGCTTCATCACATCCTCATTGACCCCAATGAAACTCCTCAAATATTATGTCGCTCATGAAGCCATCGAAAACGGACGCGGCGACGGCGTTGCAGTAGGCGGCCTCAGACCTGTCAGGCGAACGACAAATGTATCGGGCCTTTCCGGCCAGCTTCAACTCCCCCACAAACCCCTTCGAGGCCTTGTCTGCGTGGACGCCAGAACCCTTTCGACCCTTCTCGGCGGTCACATTCGTCGTCCCTTTCGAACTGTCGGCCTTCGTCTTGCGGCTTTTCTTCGCGTCGCCGACACCACCCGTTGTGGCATGGCGGGGAGTTGGGGCCGCTTGCGGGACGGGCCTCCTCAGCTGACGCAGGCGCGGCAGCTGTACCCTGTTCGGTTCCCACACCGGTATCTGCCTCGTCGATTTTCGCCCTCATGATCTCGATGTCAATGTCCGGCAAATTCAGTTTAGGGTCGACGTCGTACTCGCCTCCCATCTCCATGGTCCCAAAGTAGCAGGTGGCCGACGTCCCCCCCACATCCGTTTCCTCCGTTGTGCCACTCGGGTGTGCTGTCGTCGCTATGACATGTGCCGACTGTGCAAGCTGGTCGATCGCCTCAGCGGGCACTGGTGGTCGCGCGACATGAGCATCGTTGCTCGGCGCTGGTGGGATTTCTGCCCTTTTCAGTGCAGCGAACTAGGTGGCTTGGCATTTTTTACGTTGGGTAACCGGCGCGACCGTCGGTGGTGCCGACAGCGTAGCCAATGTGCCCCAACATCCTTGTCAGCCACACTTGTCTCCAGAGTGGTTGAGCTGGTCGCGTGGGAAGTGACCGCTGTAGGCGGAGGCGGGTTTGTCAGCAATTGGGTAGTGACGTTGTCGGCGGAGGCAGGTTCGGCAGCAAAACACGAGACACGACTGTGGGCGTCTCCACTACGCTGGTGGTCGCGCGGGCAGTAACCGCTTTGGGCAACGCCGAGGTCGGCGCCGACACAAGAGCCGACGAGGTGGCCGTCTCGACCACGCTGCTCGGTCGCATGCCTAAAGCACCCGAGCCAGGGCCGACAAGTTTGTCGACCGGCTGTGCCGTAACGCCTCTCGGACACGCGGCAGGTGCACTCGCAGGAATGGTCGTGGGGTGGAATTGTGGTCCAACACGAGGTTCCCACTCTGCTTCTCGAGCACCGATGCAGCGCCCAAAAGATCGTGGGCCAACTGTCGATCAACGTCGCTCGGTGGCCCACCAGGAGCGTCGGCAGCACTTATCGTCGAGGAATGGCGGACCTCCACGGGATTCCCAGAATGCTTCCTGGCATGAAGGGCGGGGGGCGAGTCACCCCCAGATAGCACGGCCGTCGAACCCCTTTCGCTATTTGCTTCAGCAGCAACTTGTCGCAAGCTTCCGAGGCTCTGCGATGCCGCCCCTGCCTCTTTCAACATATCGTCGACGCCCGGACGTCGAACCGACATAGCGGCCGCAGCATCTACACCGACTTTGCATTTCACCCCGGGTCCTTTGCTTCGCTTTGCGCAGCTGGCCTCCTCCCCGGCTTGGGTTTGGTCGTCGTCAACCCTTTTCCCACTGAGTGGCGCTGGCCTTTGCGACGGCTCTTGCTCCACGTCTCTTGCTCCAGAGCCTCCGTGCATCACCGACGCAAGAACTGTCAGGAGGTACTGGAACCCGACGGTACCAAAGCCCTCTTTGGTTGCGGAGGTGACAGCCTTCACCACGTTATCCCGTAGCTCTTGGACGACTTTCGAACACAACGCATTGGTAAACGTGGAGGCGGGGGGTGGCGGGAGGCTGCGTATGACGGCGGCGACGATCTTTTTGGTCGAGCTGTCAACGTCGGTCTTCACCTCAGTCGACGAGGCGGTTTTGGTCTTGTCGGCCACTACATCGGGTAGACCGCCCAACACCAAGTCAACGTGCGCGTCATCGTTCTGTTTCCCCGTATTGAGAGCATCCATTGATAACCGTACGCCCTCCATAACCGGCAGCCACTTCTCGTTCATGTGTGCTATGACGGCAGGCCGACCGGCCGTCGCATCCTACGTGATTACCGTGAGAGACTTGACGGCTCCTTTGACATTCGCCTCCGCCGACACCTCGAGGGTGGACACGCGCTCGCTAACCGTCGAGAGCTTATCGACGGCCATATTCATCACGGGCACTAGCTTGTCCATGCGGGCCTGCTCGGCGTCCAGCCTCCTCTCTAAAACCGCCTTCTCCTCCTTCAGCATTATGTTCTCCTTCTCCACCTTCTTCAAGCGATCCAGGACCGCCTTCAATGCCATTCTAGGTGTAGTTGACGGCTTGGTGGGGGACGAAATCCCACTCGCCCGCGCTTTCTGGCCCAGCTTCGATCCGCATGCCTTTGGCCGGCGAACTCTACACCTGCATCCGCTTCGCCGGTGACCTGCACTTCCTCATCCTCCTGCCCGCCCTCCTCCTCCTCGTCCTCGTCTTCCTCCTCCTCCTCCTCCTCCTCCTCCTCCTCCTCCTCCTCCTCCTCCTCCTCCTCCTCCTCCTCCTCCTCCTCCTCTAGCCTATCATCCACTGACTTGAAGGTAGGCTTTCTTAATATGCCTTTGAAACTGTATCTTCAGCTGTGATGTGGCTGACTGTTGTCATGTAGCTAACGATGTTTATAAATGCTGCTTTTGCATAGACATTTCGGGCCTGATGATGAGGTTGTTGCTTAAGCTACTGCTGCTGAAACATTTGTTGAAGCTGCTACAATTGTAGTTGAAACTTCTGTAGCTGCTGTTGAAGATCTGGTGATTCTTGCTACTTAACGTGTTGTTGATGAGTCTCTTGTTGATGTTGAGCCTGGTGTTGAACTTGTTATAGTCACAATAGGCTTGAATGTGCCTAAAACGAAAGATAGAGAGCACAGACGGATTTCTGCACAGCGGCTTCAAACGTTGATAGCGTTCTGCTCACAGCTGCAAATGACTTGATTCAAATTGGATCTGGAGCGTCTTCACGTCGTCTACAATTAGCAATTTAGATTGCACGATTTGATAAAGAATTGACGACACAGCGTCGGTTTGAACGAACGGTACTATGGCAGCCACTATAGTCTTTGAACACAAGATAGGAAGAGTTACGAGTTGGGAATGACTCCCAGCTCCTACAAACCCCAAGAGCCGAGGTACAGTGATGTGGAACAGTGCCACACTGTCCCCAACCACGAAGGGTCTCGAAACTACCCTTCACTAGGGCCTACACCAAGTGAAATGTTACACTACACAAAGTAATGTAACTATCTTCAATATCTTGAGGTGTACCCTTTTGGCAAGCTTCGAAATCACTTGAGGCTTGACACCAAGGCTCGGGCTCTTCATCACAAACGCATCCTTGAGTTCTTGATGGGTCTGCTGCACACACCTGCGACACGTCGAACGTTCGACACAAGACAAAATAGAAACCGCGCACGACAAAATAGAAACCGCGCGCGAGACACAAACGACCGCGTAACACGCGTCTAGCGATAACTCGCTATTGACTCGACACACACACTCGACACCATGACTCAACATTCACACACAATTATAAGCATGAAATATATATTATCCCATGCCCTCATACCATTCCATACACACACACATTAACGCACACGGACAACAAGCCGAGTGCAAACCGTGGGGTTGCACCAACAGAACTTGCTACTGATGATTCTGTTGCTTGTAGCATTTTTCTGTAGTATGTCTGTACTTGTTGCAAACTTTGCATAAAGTCTTGGACCTTGTGTAAAAACTCAGAAAATTGTGCTGTTGTTCTTCATCATGGGAAGTCAATCCATTTTGCTTAACTCTTTCTTCATGCAGGTCCATGTCTTGCTGCTCCGCCAGAAGTGCAGCACAAAGAGCGCCTTCAGATAAGTTGGCATGTACTTGTAATACTGCTCTGCATTGTCTCCAATCTGGTCCAAGTCCCGCAAGTAGTATTGTCATGAACATGTCTTGAGGGAAGTACCCAACACACTTAAGAAGTTGATCCCGTAAATCTCTTCTTCTATTGATGTACCCTGAAGCCTTCTCTCCTGGCTTCATCTGTACGGTTGCGAGTTGTTCTAAAATCTTGCTTTGTGTCACTTTGTCTTTCCCTAAATAGAGGTGCTGCAGATAGCTCCAAGCGGCTTCTATTGGTGCGTTGACGTTGATGTACAAACGGATGCCAAGCTGCTCCACAGGTGTGAGATTTCCTAACAATACCGTGTAAGCAGTCATTGACTCACTTTTGTGTTTCTGTTGTTGTGCCGTTGTGCCATTGGCACGAAAAGGTGTTGAGCCGTTGAAGAGATGACAGATGCCGGCTGAGTGGACGAGGAGCTCGAACTCGAAACTCCAGGTATAAAAATCTTTGCCATTGAACGGTGTTGTTGTATTGATCTTCGTCACCTTGCTGATGCTAGTCATGGTTCTCACCATAAAACCGTCATCCTGCTGTTATTGCACTCCTTGGTGCGATTGTGCATGTGAGTGAGGCGATGAAGAACCAATAGCTGGTGCAGTAGGTGGCTGAGTCATAGCTGTAGTTGTAGTTCAGAGGTCTAATTAATCGAAGCAGCTCTCATACCATGTTGGATTGAAACTTCTAATAGAATCATAAGGATCAAACGCTCTTGGATAGATAAACTTGTATGCGTAGCAGAAGCTGTAATAGAATTGTTGAATAACAGTTGGTTTAATAAAAGCAAGCATTACAATGGGTTTATAGCTAGGCGAAAGTACGTATTCGCTAATGTACCTATTCAATTATTTAAAGAGATTGTACCCTTTCGCTACAGTAAAGCCCTGTTCGCTGACGCCATCATTTCTAGTGAAGCCATCATTTCTACTTTAGCTACTTAGTAATTTCTTGAAATGTAAAACTCTACTTTATTGTCGTAAACGGAAACAGCGGAACGGATGACTAAGGGACAAGGGTGATACAAATAGGAACCCTTATAATGTTGTACCCCCTATAGCTAACCTCACTACAGCCGAACATCATTATATAAAATTTGACACACCCCCATAGGCTAAGTGAGGGATAGCAAGAGAGAAGCAAGAACCACAAACAATCACAAGACCAGTAAAGAGAAGCGACAAAACAAATTTCAGGGTGGATCACAAAGTCACCACAAGTGTGTGCACAAGCAAGGGGCCACAAGGCTAGTTCAAGAGTGCTTAGAGATATATAAATGCAAGTACAAACAACAAGAAGCAAGTCTACAACAAACGAGGGCCTGTCTCAACAAGGCCTAACTACAGACAGAACCTGTGGTGGTCACTAGGCGGAAGGGCCTTGGTGAAGACGTCGGCAGTGTTGGCCTTTGAGGCCACGAAGTCCAAACCTTCCTGGCGAAGATCATGTCGTCGACGTAGACGAGGACGAAGAAATGTGTGGGCCCTGATCAAACGAACAGGGACAGGTTGGCGATAGAAGGACGGAACCTGAGTTCAACAAGAGTGGTGCGTAGCGTGTCGTGCCACTCACGGGGCGCCTGACAGAGACAGTAGACTGGTCGCCTCGGGCTCCAAGTGTCAGTAAAACCAGGAGGACTGTGCAGCCAGATCTCCTCGTATAGGCGGCCCTGGAGAAAGGCGGTGGAGAAGTCGAGGGAATGCAACTCGTAGTGACGCTGTGCTGCAACGTGAAGCAACACCCGAAGAGCAGTCATCTTTGGGTTCGGGGCGAAGGTCTGGAAGAAGTTGACTCCCTCACGCTGACTGAAGCCCCTAGCAACGTAGCGCACCTTGAAGACAAGCGGTGATCCAGGCGGCCGCTTCACCTTGAAGATCTACATGTCATCAACTATGTTCGCCCCAGGCGGGGGAACTGTATCGACGTAAGTGCCTGTGGATCTCCAAGACTCCATCTCTGAATCCATGGCCGCTTTCTAGTGAGAGGCCCACTGCCCTGACACTGCCTCACAGTATGTGCGAGGAGTCGGTACGTCAAGGACGTCGGGGTGTCCCACAGGGGCTAGCAGCATGACACAAAGAGAGGGAAAAGCGGCTGCGAGGAACTCCAGCTCAAACTGCGTGAGACGTCACAGCCAAGGGTAGACTCACCCCCGGCAGACAGAGGATGGGCAGCCACCACTCGGGTGGCGTAGTCAAGGCGACGAGTGGCAGATTAGTCAGTGACAGTGGCGGTAAGAGCCAAGACAGACGACGGTGGGGCACGAGGGTCTGTGACAAAGGAGGCGAGAACACGGGAGACAACAGGACGAGCAGTACGGTAGTAGTCAGAGATAGGGGTAGAGGGGGCAGGTAGCCGACTAGACACAGCCACTCTGGTGCACCGCCGAACTCCAGGGCGGTGTCACGGGTGTCGGCGAGGTAGGCGAGGCAGCAGTCGACCTCACGTCAGTGCTGGTCGCTCCTCAATGTCAAGCCGCTCCCCAACTTGCTGCACGCGAAGGCGATGTCTGGCCTCATCGTCGTCGCCGCGAAGTGCAGTGAACCGACCTTCTGATCATCCTCCTCCTCCTCCTCGCGCGCCTGATCACCCATTTGCGGCATGGCGCTCGCTGCGACGGGCGCGGCGGCAAGCTGGCCGCGTTTCCCTCATCGACAGCCCGTCGTTTTTTCCCTCGTCGCATGCCCGTTGCTAGCCCGTCGCCAGCCCGTCGGGTTTCCCCCGTCGCCAGCCCGTCGCGTTTCCCTCGTCGTCAGCCCGTCGCGTTTCCCCCCCGTCACCACCTCTGCCCGCGCCTACACCTGCTGCCGAGTTTGCGCGAGAGTGGGGAAGGGGGGGGGGGGGGGTGGCATCGAGAATGAAGGAGACGGTGTCCGTGGCGGTCGCCGCAGCCCTTCCCCCCCCGTCCCGTTTTCTTCCCTCTCGTCGCCTCGCTCCGCCCGTCGCATTCCCCCGGCCCCCTGCCCGTCACCCCCCCCCCGTCGCGATTGTTCGCGTGTGCAGCGGCGGTGGCTGTGGGTGGGAGAGGGAGGAGGGGAAGGGATTGGCGGCGGAACGCTGTGGGGGGGAGAGGGAAAGGGGGAAGGGAGTGGCGGCGGAATGCTGTGGGGGAGAGAGGAAAAGGGGAAAGGGAGTGGCGGCGGAACACCAGCGATCACCTCCAGCGCACCGGCGATCGCACCAGCGCTTGCGCGCCTCCTACCGTCAGATCCCGCCCAGCCTGTAGCCCGTCTGCAGCTCGTCCCACCCGTCGCGCCCCATCAGCACTAGGCACCAGCACCAGCGCCAGCCGCCAGCACCAGCACCAGCTCCAGCTCCAGCCGCCAGCACCAGGTACCAGCACCAGCGCCAGCCGCCAGCACCAGGCACCAGCACCAGCGGCAGCCCCTAACACCAGGTACCAGCACCAGCACCAGCCGCCAGCACCAGGTACCAGCACCAGGCACCAGCACCAGCTCCAGCTCCAGCCGCCAGCACCAGGTACCAGCACCAGCGCCAGCCACCAGCACCAGGCACCAGCACCAGCGCCAGCCGCCAGCACCAGGCACCAGCACCAGCGCCAGCCACCAGCACCAGGCACCAGCACCAGCGCCAGCCGCCAGCACCAGCACCAGCTCCAGCGCCGTCACGCCAGCACCAGGCACCAGCACGAGCGCCAGCTGCCAGCACCGGGCACCAGCACCAGCGCCAGCCGCCATCACCAGCACCAGCACCAGCAC